CATTTGTGGTCCAAAGAATGCCTAAGTCATTTATTTAATCTTAGTCATTATGAAAAGAAAAAAGTGTTCTTATTATGTCAAACATCATCCTTTGATACATACTTACAGACTTAAATTATTATTTTATGTGATCATTTCAATTTCTGGGGGAATATTTTGTGTTTCCTGGAAAACCTGGAAAAATGACTTATGCGATTATTTTAAGAAGGTGACGATATGCATGTGTGTGTGGGTGTACCTGTCTAGCCCTCAGAGTGAGGACCATTTTTCCAATTTCACCATCAGATTGAGGACAAGTTGTTGCAAAGTGAGGACATTTTCCTGGTCTCACAAGCCATTTTGCTAATGGTTAGGTTTAGGGCTAAGGTGTCTATTGGGTTAGGGTTAGGGTGAGGTAGGCATTGGTGATGGTTACGTTTAGAGTTAGGGCATAGAAAGGGTTAAAAATGACTGAAAATTAATGGGAGTCAACTCATGGTCCTCTCTACATATAGCAGAACAAGTATACGTGTTTGTGGGTGTGTGTGTGACTCACATCAAGCAGTGATTGTATGACATGCCATTCAGCAGGACAATTGTTTCACCAAAGCAATCCAAAAGCTATTTAGGGTGAAGAGGCGGAAAAACCTAAAAGGCTAAGCTGGAGAACGGAAATAAATCTACGAGAGAAAACATGAACATGACTAGAGAAGAAGCAGACAGAACTTAGTAAAGAAATCCTTCCAATTCTGGTTCTTCATTAAATACCAAACAACTGCTGGGTGCAGCTTACAGATGATTTGAACTCTTTAGTTGATAAGTTAGAGAAATATCCCAGTTAAAATACTGGTTTCTACAGTCATTTCCAGCTGGTTGGTTTGATTTGCCACTTTTTGTCCAAGGTGTCATGGAAAAATGATTTCAGTGTCATGATCTACAAAGTATTTCAAGTGGTGTAAACAAGTTATCAGCTCCCGCAGTCCTACACACAACCCAGTGTCTTATATTTCTTTGATATGATCGAACAGAACTTACCTGACTTCTGTAGGCAGACGGACCCAGATCAGCTGCAGTGTTTGGGCATTGTTCTCCCAGCAATGCACCCGCCACCCTATCCTGACCTGACCTTACTCTTGCTAAGCCTGTCCATCATTTTCATACACTTATCGTCTGTCACTCCTACTGGAGTAAATCCTACCTAACGGGTCTTGAACCCTGGGAAAACAAAGTGTAATCGATCCACGCTTTACTGGTTTTCTTGAGGCGGGTTATTGAAAGTGAGATAACACCAGCGTCACCAGCATCCGTCAGATGTGGGAGGTATGTGGGCTGGGAGAGAGTGTGGAGTAAAAAGAGAAGGGAAGGACTGTAGGAATGATATCTGGGTTCAGAGCGTGACTGGGATTAGATCAGGCATCGGCTGTGACGTCCTGTCCAGACAAAACCAGGTTTCAGTGTATCCCACAAGCTTCTTGGTCAGATAGGAGGTCTTGCCCTAAAGAAGCAGATTATATTTAAGATAGGCATCCCGAAAGTCTGTCCTCAAGGGCCTCTGTCCTGCAGATTTTAGAGGTTTCCCTGCCCCAGTACAGCTGATATTCATTCATAGTTGATTAAAAGGCTTTTGCTGAACTGCAATAGTCAGAATCAGCTGTGCTAAAGCAGGGAAACCTTTAAAACCAGCAGGACAGCGGCCCTTAAAGACAGACTTTGGGGATTCCTAATTTAAAACCTTCTGCTTTTAGAAGGTATTCAACTCATTGAGGATTTAACACCAACACATGTTTCTCCTCTATGGTGATAGTGTGGACTGCCTAGTTTTTAGTTCACACATCCACCTCTTTTGTGTCTTTTACATCCGTTGATTACATTTCATCCTTACACTCTAACTTTTCTGTGTGGGAAAAAAAAAAATATTTAGCTCTGCCTGGCATAGCCTGAGTCTTCTCATATTTGCAATAGTAATGAATAAATTGACGGATTCCGTCTGACCACAGTCCATATGGAATAGATTTTAGTCATAGTGCTGTGATTGTGAAAGTGTGTGCAGCAGTTAAGCTCTACTCTAGGGGAAAAAGCAAGCTGCAGAAAGAGGATAGATGATTTGTTAATGGGAAAAAAAGCTTAAACAGTGGAGGAGTTCACAGTGATTTTCTCGTAAAAACTAGTTAATTTTCTCATTATCGCCATAACAAGATGATTGGTGTGTGATAAAACTGATCACATCCTTCAATACCACAGCAGCTGGAGGGGATTTATAATTAATGGCAGCCTATGTGTAATTCTGTAAATAATCCTGTGTTTAACTTTCAGGTAACGAGATGACATTGTTGGTTTAATGATTTGCTTCCACTTCTGATTCATAAGCAATTAGACCTATGCTTCTGGTGACTTAGCACTTGGTGCTTCCTGAACAGCCCTGGTGTTACGCCTGTAACAGGTAGAGGAAGCAATAATCCCCAACATGAGTCCAGATTAAAGATTCTCATTAAAAAAACATGCAATCCAATCCAGTTAATGTTTATGTTTGACATGTTGAATTGTGATGGAAGATGTAGCCCATCTGCTTTAATGTTTGAACAGTTGGTACTCTATATATCTACAGATCTAAAGTTAGCACACAGCTTCAGTCGCTTCAGCTAGTAACCACTGATCAGGCCCCAAATCTAGGTGTAGTACTGGATTCAGATTAAACCTCCAAAAGCTTTTAAAGACAATTACAAGGTCGGCTTTCTATGACCTGAAGAACATTTTCAGGATTAAAGGACTAATGTCTCAGCATGATCTGACAAACTAATCCCTGTGGGATGGGAGTCAGTATTAGTAACAATCACGTGATTGGGACGGTACAGGATTAAACATTAACGGGAGCAGACGGGAGCGGGAGGAAACCGATAGTAACTAAAAAAAAAACTAGGATCGATGGCAAAAAATAAACTAAATTAGAAAGAAAAAAAAATCCAGTACTGGCGCCGCCATTTTGTAGTTTTTTCCCTTGAAGCCTGCACTATAATGCGAGTCAAAAAAAACTACCTGACCCAAAAACCTACAGTGCTTCCGCTCAAAAACAACAAATTCAGATTCAATGGCTGCGTCTCAATTCGTAGCCTGTGAATTGGCAGAAATCTTATTGAAGACAACAAGAATGGAAGTGGTGCAGGAGCGGGAGTCATTCTGAATGGGAGCGGGATGGGAGTGGGAGTA